ACTCGACGACCTTCTGGAGAAAGGCTGGATTCGGCCTAGCTCATCGCCATACGGTGCTCCTGTTCTCTTCGTCCGGAAGAAGAACAAGGATTTGCGGTTGTGCATCGATTATCGCAAGCTCAACGCGCAGACGATCAGAAACGCCGGCCCTCTCCCACGCATCGACGATCTTCTCGAGCGACTGGGCGGCGCCAAGTTCTTCTCCAAGCTCAATCTCAAGTCAGGGTATCACCAACTCGAGATTCGGCAGGAGGATCGCTACAAAACCGCGTTTAAGACGCGATATGGGCATTTCGAATGGCTGGTTATGCCATTCGGCCTTACGAATGTCCCAACCACTTTCCAAGCGGCTATGACAACGCAGTTCCGACACATGCTGGATCGATACGTACTTATCTACCTCGACGACATCCTGGTGTACAGTCAGAGTTTGGAGGAGCATGTGGAACACCTGCGCACCGTTTTGGAGCGGCTACGACAAGCCAAGTACAAAGCAAACCGCGACAAGTGCGAGTTCGCACAGCAGGAGTTGGAGTACTTGGGACACTATGTGACGCTGCAAGGCATCCGTCCGCTTGCGGACAAGATCGAGGCCCTACGAGTATGGCCCGAGCCCACCAACACCACGGACGTTCGTTCATTCATGGGGTTGGCAGGCTACTATCAGCGATTCATCACCGAATACTCCAGGATTGCTGCACCTATAACGAGGTTGCAGTCGCCAAAGGTGCCATTCGTATTCGATGACGACGCACGCCGGTCATTCCAAGCACTCAAGACGGCCATGCTCATAGCACCCGTCCTTAGCATCTATGACCCCGTCCTGCCTACGAGAGTGACTACGGACGCTTCCGGCTATGGCGTTGGGGCAGTCTTGGAACAACACGACGGCGACGACTGACACCCTGTGGAGTATTTCAGCCACAAAGTGCCTCCCATCAACTCGCTTGATGACGCAAGGAAGAAGGAGCTGCTCGCATTCGTCATGGCTCTCAAGCGATGGCGGCACTTCCTCCTTGGGCGTCGTAGGTTCACATGGGTTACGAACAACAATCCATTGACCTACTACAAGACGCAGGATACGGTGAGCAGCACGATCGGACAATGGATTGTACTTCATCGACCAGTTTGACTTCACACCGAAACATCTTCCCGGCCTCTCAAATCACGCAGCAGATGCACTCTCGCGAAGACCTGATCTTTGCGCTATGACACATCATGCCTTCTCATTCGACAAGGAGCTTCAGCGACACTTCATCCGGGCATATGAGTCTGATCCGGACTTCGCCACGCTGTATGCACAACTATCTTCGGATCACCCGCCGTCCAGCCACTATCGCATTGCCGACGGGTACTTGCTCCTCCACTCGAGAGGCAAGGACTTACTATGTGTCCCACGCGACCGCCGTCTTCGAACTCGCCTCCTCAGCGAGTATCATGACTCAGCGGCCATTTCGGAGTCAACCGCACTATTGCACGGCTTCCACTGCGATTCCGATGGCCCGATCTCATTATCGATATCACTCGGTATTGCGACTCTTGTGAAGTTTGCCGACGCAGCAAGCCCCGCAACCGCAATCCCTACGGCGAGTTACGCCCGATGCCTATCCCACGCGAACCTGGTCTCTCCATTGCCATGGACGTCACCGGTCCGTTTCCCCGCGACCCGCTCGGGCACGACGGCATCCTCACGGTGGTGGACCAATTGAGTAAGTATGCGCGTTTTCTTCCTTGCAAGTACTACTCCACGGCTCCCGAGCTGGCACACCTCCTACACACCGGTTGGATTTGTGGCCAAGGTGTACCGGAAGACATCGTCAGCGACCGCGACACTCGTTTCATGTCAGCATTTTGGACTGCGCTCATGCAGGAGTCCGGCACGACGATGAAACCAAGTTTGGCTCGACATCCACAGACAGACGGGCAGACGGAGCGGGCACATCAAACCGCTCAAATGATGCTTCGTACGCTCATCCGTTCGGACCAGAAAGATTGGGTTGACCGCCTTCCCGACATCGAGTTCGCCTACAACACTTCGGTGCACCCGGCGATCGGCGTGACTCCATTCGAGTTGCACCACGGTGGACGGAAAGGCCGTATCTTCGCCGACCTTCTCCTCCCTCGACCAGCCGACATTGACGCCGCTTGCTCCCCCGCTTCCGTTCGGAAGTACAGGGAATTGCCGACACAAGCCCGCGCGAACATGCAAAAGGCTCAAGTCCGCATGCAGCAGCAAGCCAACAGGCGTCGAGTGCCATGTCCCATCCGCGCCGGTGATCTGGTTTGGGTCTCCGCGGAAGAGTTTGCACTAGAACAAGATGTTTCACGCAAACTGCTTCCCAAGTGGTTTGGACCTTGGTCTGTGACAGCAGCCGCGGGCGATGAGCCCGATGGCCCTTCACTTGTGATCAACATTCCCGAGCATCTGACGGTCCATCCAGTCTTTCACGCCTCGAAGCTGGCAACATATACACCAGCTAAGAGCGACGACTTCTCGGGCCGACGATTGCAGGACCGCGTCATCACGGATCGTTAGTACGACAGCAAGCCGCGCCAGTACAAAGTTACATTCAGAGCATGCGATCCCGACGACACTCGGTGAATTTCAGGAGCAGATTTGAAAGCATCCGCACCGCTGATCTACGCTCACTACGAGCGACAAAGGTTAGCTAAGGGACCTCCCCGACCTGCCCCTCCCACCCGGACTGTGGTCCCTCCCTCAGACAGACAGCTTTGCCCTCGCAGGTAAGCTTGGTCCTTCAAGGAGGGGGGGTGTGGCATGCTGCGTAGCCACATGGGCCCTGCAGGGCCCGTCCCGCACCTTCAGCCTAAAAGCCTAAAACTTAGGGCTTACAGGCCCCGGTCGTTTCAGCCTGAAAGMTGAAATACGAGGGCCTGCAGGCCCTACTCCGTTTTCAGCCTATTTCTGGGCCTTTCAGGCCCAGAGGCTTTTCAGCCTGAAACGGAGGGCCATTTTCAGGCCCTCATTTGTTTCGACCTGCCCTAAGACTCAGGCACGAAAACTGGGTTTCGGAACAGGCTATTTCTGGCCTGTTCCCCACGCCA